AAGAGCGCCACCGGGGGTAGCCAGATGGTGCTCACCTCCTGCAAAGTCCAGCTCGCACCTCCCTCCCCGCATCAGACACAGGAATCCTCAGTGCATTCGCACCCCCAAGGTTTACTAGAGCCGCAAGATCCTTAAAAGAGCGCCACCGGGGGTAGCCAGATGGTGCTTTCCACCTGCAAAGTCCAGCTCGCACCTCCCTCCCCGCATCAGACACAGGAATCCTCAGTGCATTCGCACCCCCAAGGTTTACTACTAGAGCCGCAAGTCTAGCCACGCTGGGAAGTTATGTGTACAGGTAGGTACACGGGAGGATGCCTGAGGTCCTGCAAACGCTGGTTTTTGCTTCACAGGGCCACCCTTACCACCCAATCTTGGCTTTGACACTGTAAACATGTCTTGTTTCATGTTATATTTATGTAGGTACGTGTCTTAACTCCCTAACTAGCTAAAGTGTGGTATAGTTATCCTCATCTATACAATGGGGATAATATTCGGATGTCCCCAGGATTATGAGTTAATAAACAGAGCATGGCATAGTAGGCAAACAGCAAACATTATTTCCAACCCTCCATACTTTTATCAACCCCAGTATTTCATGTCAGGGTCAAGCGCAAAGAATTTCTTTAAAATTATGGAAGAATCACGGCAAAGTAAGGTATCTTGGACTTCCCAGTAAGTGTTGTTATGAAGTAAACCATTCCAAAATTGGTAAGACAGAGAAAGTTGAGTATCTTCAATGAAAGATTTGTGGTTAAAAACCATAAAATTGTTACATCAGAATTTCACAGTGAACAGATCTTTGGTATAGTTCAAAGCAGACAACGGGCTGACACATAAAATTTTTGAAGCCCTGGCGGTGTGGCTCAGTTGGTTGGGTGTCATCCCAGTTCAATTCCTGGTCAGTGCACATGCCTGGATTTCTGGCTCAATCCCCCAGCTGGGCATGTGCAGGAGAAGGCCTATTGATGTTCTACTCTCACATAGATTTTTCTTTCTTTCCCTTTCCCTTCCTCTCATACAGGTCAAAGTGAGCAGACCCCCAAAAAAAACACAAAAACAAAAACAAAAAAAAAGGACTGGCTGGTTTTTTATTGTAAAAAGAAGCAATGAAGTTAAGTAGCACAAATACTTCTCACTTAGCTATAAGCAACATATTGGTAAAAGTGGGTTTCAATGCCCATTCAAGCACTTACCAGTGTGGTCTTCAGCAAGTCACTTATCCTCTCCAAATCTGTTTCCTCATCTGCAAAATGGGAATAACAATATCTACTTTGCAGAGCTGCTATATTAGAAATAATTTAAGTAAAATAGCACTGCGACTGACACGTAGAACTGCAAGGATAGCTATTACATTATTACCATAAAGGTTGATAGCATGGGAGGATATTATACACCCTCTGCAGTACTTATACCAGTAACCCAACTTTATTGTGCATTAGAATCATCTATTATAGTTGTTGAAAACTGTGGATACCCAGATTCCACCCTCCATGAGGTACAGGGAAAATGCGGAAAAAAACTGAGTTTTTTTAATATTATATTAGATTCTGATGTATTTTCATGCTGTTGTAAAAAACTGCAGCATTCTACGATAAAAAAAAGTCATAAAAGTAATGGAACCACGTAAATTATTTAGCATATAGAACAAAAACTACTTTACAATAATGACATTTAACAGTTTATTTTGAAGGTCATTTTAAAAACAAAGTTAAAGACAATCTGAGAAAAAAATTGCACATAATACACTCTTTAAATATAAGTATGGTGATTAAATCAAAATAAGGGAAATATGTTTTCTTCTGCAACTCCAAGAACAAGTTGTTGTCCTGAAGGTTCTTATACTTCCAAAAAGGGGTGGGGGGAAATCATGGCAATTAAAGCTGCCTCTTAATCATGTAAATCTATAGTAGAAACCAAATTTTTCTGTTCTTCCCAATCAGTTTCGATCTTCAAACTGTGCCTTGTTTTTTAAAAGATATGATGCTAGAAATTCAATGGGATTTGGTGGTCTGTAAAGGAAAAGAAATCCAAAATTTAGAAATTTGTATTCTAGATGTGTTCATTGAAATAAATTGTTCCATAATAAAAATACATCTTTTAAATTTTAGCTTTCTTTTTACACTCAAAGGCCATTTGTAGTAAATACAGGGTGTCCCCAAAAAATGTATACATACTTTTTTCTGATAGCTCAATTGATGTTTCTTCCTTTTCTGGTTTAACCCATCAGAATTAATAATTATTCAAAGTGTGTATACATTTTGGGGGGACATCCTGTATAGTAAATGAGACAGGGAAGCAGATTAGTCAACAATGTAGTTTAAAGAAATTGAAATTTTTGTACGGCTGAAACCTGCTTATGAACTCAATTCTAAAACACAAGTTTGGAAAATGTACTAGCAATGGGATGATAACTATCCCAGGGGAATAATGACTTGAGGGGACACAAGGCAGACTGCTGGAGTGCCAGCAGTGTTCCCTTTCTTGATCAGAATGCAGGTTACATAATTATGCTTAGTGTCAGAAAATTCAGCAAGCAGTACACCTATGATATTCTTAATTTTCTGTATGAATATTAACCTTCAATAAGAATACAAAAACTACATAGGAAAATGGCTGTACATCACCAAGACAGGTAGATGAACTCTCTAAGTGATTAATCAAAGGAAGTAGTATTCATTTGAACAAGTTTTGTTTCTTTTTAAAAAGCAATTTCTACTGCCACCATACAACACACCTGATAAGTTAAACATATTTTAAAGTTAATGGGTATTATTTCATATTTATCACTTTTATATAAATAATTCTTGCTGAGAAAACAAGTCCAAAGATGAAAATGGGGTAAACACCTATTTAAACCCTACTAGGAAAAGGCATAGAGAAAATTTAATAATGATCTCAAAATATTCCCTTAGCACTTTAAACATAACTAGCTAGACATAGACAACATTTTTCAAGATTAATTTGATAAATCAATTTGCCAGACTTCTTACTTAAAAATTGTATTTACTAATAGCATATTACTTAGGACTGCTTCAAATTTTTTCTTCTAGCTTATAAATATTTAGAATTTCTAATTATTTTTTAGAGAAAGAAAAAAATAAAAGATGTCCATACTTCAACTGTCAGTAGAGAGCCAAAAATAAATCATAGTTGCCCTAGCCAGTTTGGCTCAGTGGATAGAGCGTCAGCCTGTGGACTGAAGGGTCCCAGGATCAAATCCGGTCAAGGGCACATGCCTGGGTTGCAGGCTCAATCCCAAGTGGGGGGCATGCAGGAGGCAGCCGATCAATGATCCTCTCTCATCACTGATGTTTCTATCTCTCTCTCCCTCTCCCTTTCTCTCTGAAATCAATAAAAATATTAAAAGATGTTTTAAAAAAATAAAAAATCATATTTTATAAATGTAACAATCTAAAGCAAATATTTAATGTTTACCATATAATTTATATAAACATGCCCGGCTGGAGTGGCTCAATGGTTGAGCATCAACCCATGAACCAGGAGGTCACTGTTCAATTCCCAGTCAGGGTACATGCCCGGATTGCAGGGGTGTACAGGAGGCAGCTGCTCAGTGAGTCATCTTTTTTATTTTTTTAATATATTTTATTGATTTTTTACAGAGAGGAAGGGAGAGGGATAGCGACCGGAATCGAACCTGGGACCCTTCAGTCCGCAGGCGGACGCTCGCTCCATCCACTGAGCCAAACCGGTTAGGGCTCATTTTTTTTTCTTCTTCAATATATTGTTATTGATTTCAGAGAAGAAGGGGGAGAGAGAAGGAGAGAGAGGGGGAGAGAGAGAGAGAGAAACATCAATGATGAGCTCTCTTGATAAAAAAACATCAAGTTCCTTATCAAATTATATCAGTTTGGCCCTAACTGGTTTGGCTCAGTGGATAGAGCGGCGGCCTGCGGACTGATGGGTCTCAGGTTTGATTCCGTATTGTTATTGATTTCAGAGAAGAAGGGGGAGAGAGAAGGAGAGAGAGGGGGAGAGAGAGAGAGAGAAACATCAATGATGAGCTCTCTTGATAAAAAAACATCAAGTTCCTTATCAAATTATATCAGTTTGGCCCTAACTGGTTTGGCTCAGTGGATAGAGCGGCGGCCTGCGGACTGATGGGTCTCAGGTTTGATTCCGGTTAAGGGCATGTATCTTGGTTGCGGGCACATCCCCAGTAGGGGGTGTGCAGGAGGCAGCTGATAGATGTTTCTCTCTCATCGATGTTTCTAACTCTCTATCCCTCTCCCTTCCTCTCTGTAAAAAATTCAATAAAATATATTTTTTTAAAAATTATATCAGTTTGCTAGTATTCATTTTGCTTGTTGTTAATAGTCACCCAAGGATATTTTTTCAATTGATTTTTAGAGAGTGTGGAAGGGGAGGGGGAGAGACAGAGAAAGAGAAACATCGATGTGAGACCAGCTAGGGCTAGTATTCATTATTATTCTTTGAATAAAACATAATCTGCACCAAATAAATGATGACTAATGTAACTTAAAAAATATTTTTTATGGGATTTGCTTACATAAAAATAATTTAGGTAGAATTACTGGGGTAACACCTGTACCAAAAAAAAAGAAAAATTATAATCTTGTTAATAAAGAAGTTATAACAATTTTGCAACCCCTGGCCAGGTAGCTCAGCTGGTTAGAGTATCGTCCTGATACACCAAGGTTGCTGGTTTGATCCCCAGTCAGGGTACATACAAGAAGCAACCGATGAATACATAAGTGGAACAACAAAGAGATCTCTTTCTTTCTTTCTTTCTTTCTTTCTTTCTTTCTTTCTTTCTTTCTTTCTCTCTCTCTCTCTCTCTCTCTCTCTCTCTCTCTCTCCTCTCACTTCCTCTCTCTCTAAAATCAATTTTTAAAAATTGGCAAAAAAATGTTTGTAACACTCATGCTGTTGAGGCTATGATAATAGTGAAAGAATTTTAATAATAAACTTTTGGTCATAGCCAGTTTGGCTCAGTGGGTAGAGCATCAGCCCACGGACTAAAGGATCCCATGTTCGATTCCAGTCAAGGGCACATAACTCTGTTGCTGGCTCAATCCCTGGCTCTGGTTGGGGCAGATGTGGGAGGCAACCAATTGATGTGTCTATCTCACATAGATGTTTCTCTCTCTCTGTCTCTTCCCCTCCCTCCCTCTCTAAAAAAAAAAAAAAAAAATCAACATAAAAATATCCTCAGGTAAGGATTAACCCCCCCTCCAAAAAATACATTTTTGGACATAAATATGATACTAAGTATCAAACACCATAAAAAAAATTGTATCCTTTGAACTAGCAAACCAACTCGTGGGAATTTTGCATGTGAAAGTAATTACATAAAAACAAAAGAGGCGCCAAACCGGTTTGGCTCTATTGGTTTGGCTCAGTGAATAGAGCGTTGGCCTGAGGACTGCAAGGTCCCAGGTTTGATTCCGGTCAAGGGCATGTACCTTGGTTGCGGGCACATCCC